AAGCCTCCTTTGTTGCTTTGTGCCTCAGCTTCCAGCACAATCCCAGGACCATCAAAGGGGTGCAATAGTTGTCGAATACCTTGCTTACTTCAACTAACACTGGCACCTGTGGGGGTGCTGCATGGGGTGCATTTTGCCTAGTGGTTAGGACCCCACCTGAAATACCTGCACCCCACATCGGGGTGCCTGGCTCCACACCCAGTTGCAACTTCCCTGCTGGGCGGCAGCAGGTGATGACTCAAGTAGTTGAGTCCCTGCCGCAAGTAGACCTGGACTGAGTTCCCAGCTCCTGGCTTGGGCCTGGCCCGGCTGTTGTGAGCATTTGGGGAGTGAACCTGCAGATAGGAATTCTTTCTCTTTATCTCTGTCTGCCTCTGCCTCTCAAATAAACAAAATAAAAATATTTTAAAGTTCACGGGAAAATGGATTTTCAAGATAAGTTTATTTTGGTGCACAAAATTCTGAAATCCATGTGTTGTTGTTATATAAAATGAATTTGCATGAGCTTTTTAAAGACTCCTCATAGGCACAGATTTCAAAAAAAATTTTTGCACCAAAAGAAACATGCGTTGTTTTCCATGAACTTTTGGAAGTACGCTGATGCACACAAGTAGACATGGTGAGAAGGATGAAGGAAGGGCCTGCTGTGTGGATGCTCTGAGTTGCCCACTCCCCAGTCACCCCCTCCAGCTTTCTGTGACTCAGCAGACAACCCACACAGCTTAGCAGACACCCCAAGAGTGCCCAATCATTGTCTCCCAAACACCTATGGAATATTTCTTTTTCTATATTTATTTATTTTATTTTATGTGAAAGCTAGAGAGACCAACAGAGAGTGATCCTCCATCTGTTGATTCACTCCTGAAATGCCCGCAACAGCTAGGGTTGGGCCAGGCTGAGGTCAGGAGCCCAGAATTCAATCTGGGTCTCCTATATGGGTGACAGCAACCCAAGTGCTTGAGCCATCACCTGCTTCCTCCCAGGGTGTGCATTAGCAGGAAGCTGGATTGGATGCAGAGGAGCGGGGATTCGAACCAGGCACTCTGTTAATACGACACACAGGCATCCAAAGTGGCATCAAACACCCACCGTGTTTGGAATCTCTCTGCCACCTCTCCACTCAGTTCCTCCAGGACCCCAGCTTCTTCCTGCCTGTTTGGCTTCTTCTTGTCACGCAAGGCCCAGCTCCGGTGTCACCTCCCCAGAGTGGCCCTGACCACCCTGACCCCTCCCCTCCACTCTCCCCATTCTGAGTCTGCCCCCGGGAGCTGTCTCCTCTCACCCTGTTTACTCTCTGCATAGCACCCATGCCTCTCTGGTTTCACTTTCTGGTTTAGCTGCTTGTGGCCTGTCCCCTCCCTATACCCTCACCCTTCTCTGGAATGCAACCCTCAACTGTCATGGGGTAGAGGTGTTCTAGCCTGCCGCAATGGTTTCTTATTTGTTTTCTAATCCATAGCTCCTGGAGCATTGTCTGGGACAATGTCACCACTGTGCGGTTCCTTAGTTTAGTAATGACTTAATGCCACACCACTTGACTACCAGATGGTTACAGCGATCCTTTTTACCTCTGACCTGACTGAGTTAGGTGAAAGGACTTGGTAAACGGCTGCCTCCTAACTGTGTGTAAGTCACCACTGGCATCGCCATTACCTGAACGTGCAGCGCAAAGTCCAGCGTGTCCTCATCCGCAGCCCGGAGGCGGTCCCCTCTGTCCAGCCCTGGTGATGACGGCTGGGGAGAACCTCGCTCAGGGCAGAGCCCAGGGTCCAGTTCAGTTCATTTGAGTGCTTACCAGGTAGAAGCCCAGTGCTAAACTCTGAGGATACAAAGGCACTAAGAAGAAAGAAGGACTAGAAACGGGGCTGCCGACAGGAGACATGAGCAGAGCTGTGAAAAAACCTGAGCCAGGGGGCCAGCACTGTGGCATAGTAGGTAAAGCCACCGCCTGCAGTGCCAGCATCCCATTTGGGCGCTGTTTTGAGTCCCAGCTGCTCCACTTCCAACCCAGCTCTCTGCTATGGCCTGGGAAAGCAGTAGAAGATGGCCCAAAGTGCTTGGGCCCCTGCACCCGCACAAAAGACCTGAAAGAAGCTCCTGGCTCCTGGCTCCGGATCAGCACAGCTCCGACTGTTGTAGCCATCTGGGGAGTGAACCAGCGGATGGAAGACCTCTCTCCCTCTATGCCAGACCCTGCGGACACACAGAAGATGCAAGGGCAGCGGGAAGGGAGCACTCTGGGGGGCACTGGCTCTTTCCACTTACTCCCTGGAGCCCTTAGGAGCAGGTACGAGTTCCCTGCTGTCCAGAGGGTGCACCTGAAAGCTCAGAGAGGTTGAGGATCTCGCCCAAAGGCACACAGTTAGCAGGACACAGAGCCCGCATCCCAGTCCAGCAGGCTCCAGCACCTGGCCGTCTGCTCCACCAGAGCCTGCCGTGGGACCTACTGTGAGCGCCCCAGCAGACCGACTGGGGCCAGGGAAGAGAGGAAGGGGCACGTCCCCCTCCTACCGACTGCTGGGTCCACCGTGCTTAGTCATGCAGCAGGCAGCACCCAGGGCCCCCCCTTCCCCAACCTGGGGTACCCGCCTAGTGGTTAGCAGAGGCCCTCTCACTCTGGGTGAGACCGGAAAACTTCCCACTGAGCAAAGTAGAGGGTCGTGCAGCCCCTCCAGCCCCCGCCCAGGCCGTCCTGTCCTCAGCACAGCCGGGTAGGCAAGTCCCTGGCTGCAGCCCTGCACGGTGAGCTGAGTGCAGGCACGCCAGAGCCTGGGCTGGCCCAGGAAAGGGACAGGGGAGCAGAGTTTCCTGGGAGGCACAGAGAGTGAGGGAAGGGTTCAGAAGCTGTGGACGTGGGTAGCTTCCTCCTTTAACCTTTGCCTGGCTGTGTGAGCCTGCGTGTGAGCAGCTCCTGCAGGCGATCTGTGTGCCTGTGTGTGCCAGGCAGGGGTGTGAGAAGTCCAAGAAGTGCCGTTGTGTGCATTTGCGCTCATGTGTCATGGCGGCCCAGCACCACTCTCCCAGATACATCGTCTTGTTTGGGTAGCTTCTTGGTGGTGCTTTTGCTTGTCTGTTTTATTGGTATAACGTGCATTGAGTAAAGCAGTTATATCTGAAGCAGACTGCTCAGTGAGTGCCTGCACATACAAACACCCACCGTTCATGTAAAGTGGACGCTGTCCAGTATCCCAGAGGGCTCCATCCCATATTGGCCCCACCTCCCCGAGCAGTAACCACTGTTCCAACTTAACCTTAACTTTGCCTCTTAAAGTTCACAAACAGAATCATACAGAGCGTACTTTTCTGTGTCTAGTTTCTTTCCTTCATCGTATCTATAGATTCTTCCATGCTATTACATTTAGCATTGGTTTGTTCTTGTCTACAGATGAATTCTATTCAATTGTAAAGTACACCGCGTTTGTTTCTGTACTGCACCAATGACTGGCAGCTTTTCCAATGCTTAGCTATTTGAATAAGCGTATCATGCGGATCCTTGTACAGATCTCATATTCGACACGTGCACTCGTTCCTCGTGGTTACATCTTGGTGCAGGATTCCTGGGTCATAGGATCACAGAGTAGTCACATGTTTGCCGTTAGCAGAGTCAGTTGACCCACTTTCCAAGGTCTGTGCTGATTTCCATTCCAGCACCGAGGTCTGCGCATTCCCCTGGCTTCACATCTCCGTCAGCTCCTGCTGTTGTTGGCGTTTCTAATCGTGGGCGTTCTGGCGTCTGTGCAGAGCTTTTCACTGTGGCTGACGAGTAATGAAATTGAGCCTCTTCTGGTCATCAGCAGCCACTTTGCATCTGCCTTTGTGAAGTGTCCAGATAGTCACAGAAGTACAATATCTGTAAAAAGAGACAAACAACCCTGGCGCCGCCCATGTTTCTCTCAGACGCATTCGCAACTTTCATCAAATTTGTGTGGTGTTTGGCTCATTGTTTTGTTTTGTTTTGTTTTGACAAGCAGAGTTAGACAGTGAGAGAGACAGAGAGAAAGGTCTTCCTTCCACTGGTTCACCCCCCAAATAGCCGCTATGGCCGGCGCTGCGCCAATCCGAAGCCAGGAGCCAAGTGCTTTCTCCTGGTCTCCCATGGGGTGCAGGGCCCAAGCACTTGGGCCATCCTCCACTGCCTTCCTGGGCCACAGCAGAGAGCTGGACTGGAAGAGGAGCAACCGGGACAGAACCGGTGCCCCGACCCGGACTAGAACCCGGAGTACCAGTGCCACAGGCGGAGGATTAGCCTAGTGAGCCGCGGTGCTGGCCTGGGCTCATTTTCTTAAGACACTTGAACTTTCTCCGGAAGGCATCAAATAGGCATTACGATGACTTGGAGTTCCGTCAGCTGTAAGGATGGCCACATCTAAGTGTTCACGTGCAGGCTGTCAGACAGACTGAATTGACTTTTATGAGAATCATTTCAAAAGTTAACTTCCTTACAGGGTTAACATGGGGACTTACTCTGACTCTGGTTCATAGTGTTTTTCATTATGTGATGTGAATTTTGGCTCGTTTTAAAAATTGTCCCCTTTAGTTCCATTCTGGCCTGGTCATCCCTGCAACATTGTTTAAAAATCCCAAGCACTTTTTCCTTTATGATATGTGAGCCCCTGTGACCTATTCTCTAAATCACAATCCTTGTAAATAGTAATAAATGTCAGCTCTGTGTGTCCAAAAAAAAAAAAAAAATAGACAAACGATTTGACAAAAAAACAGACAACCGAGCAGAATCATCTTGAGAATCCAGCAGCACACACAACCCAGCAACCAGCTGTCTCTACGATGGCTAACTATAGTCGCCACAATTTGTGAACTAGCTGGACCAAGTCACATGGGTACACGAGTGGATGTTTCATTTTGCACCAGTTATTTAGATTTCGGACACACTCCTGACTTAGATTCTGCAGGATAAAGGGAATGCAGACGAGAGCCAGGAACCGCTAGCTCCAGCCAGAGAAGTGTCCTCACTCATCTCACCGTCTCTCCTTCCGTTACAGGATCCCGCCAGTGACCAACCCCTGAACGGCATCGGTAAGCTCAGGTCTGGCCTCCCGTCGTCCGCCTCAGCCTCTGAGCTGCGGCTACTCCACAGTCACTACACTGCTCTTGGGCGCTCTTCATCACCACCACCAAGTGCTTAATGCTGTGGGTGCCATCCATCGGTCTGTCCATCCATCACTCCACAAACAAATACTAAGTCACTGAAAAGCCTAGGGTTCGTTCTAGAAGTAGGAGGCCTGCTCTCTAGGGAAGTAGAACCAGCAAACCTAAAATTCCGAGAGCAATGATTCTCCCACTGAATCAGCTGTTCATTGTCTTCTTCGTTCCATAAAACCGCGAGTGCCTGCAACACGCCAGGCCCGGGGCTGGATGCTGGGCTAGGGCAGCGGGAGAGATAGCCAAGACCTCTGCCACCAAGGAGTTCACGGTCTGGCAGCGCTCAAGGAGCCGTGGACAAAGGCATTGTCGCTGGGAGGAAAGAAAACAGCAGTGTTTTCCTGACTTGCAGGGGGAAAATAAGTTAATATGACGATCTCATATTTAAGGGCTTGTTCCCTCCCCTTTTCTAAACCATTGATCCCACTCCTGATAGCTCTCTGCATCAGCAGAACACATGAGCAAGGAACAAACTAATAGGAACAGATCCATGAGAAAATGACAGCACCTGCTTCCTCTCCCAGCTTATATAAACCCAAGTCCAGGGTCGCAAGTTAACATTGATCACAAACATCCTTTCTGGCAAGTGGCACGGCACCTGGGTGTAAACTCCGGATCCAATATGTCGATAGATCGTGACGTCTCGAAAGAACACCGGGCTTCCCAGTGCTCCACCACCTGAGAGCTCCCAAGCCTAAAACCAGCCAAACGTGCAGCCAAATGCCCAAATGCAACCAAAGATCCAGGCTACCCAAGTGGTCAGGGAGGGTGCATGGATCAGGCCCCGGCAATGAGGAAACAACCACGGAACACGGGAGGGGTGAGGGCCTCGGCGCGGCCGGGAAGAGCCCCGGCTCTCCAGACGCAGGGCTGAGAGTGAAGCCAGGACGAGCCTGCCCGCAAGGGCTCAGGCGGGTCAGTGACGCCCAGTAGCTGGATTCACTTGGCCAAGAACGTGAGGCCAACTCCCAGAGGGAAGCCCAAGCCAAGTGTGGGAGACATGGGAAGCCTTCATTGCGGGAGATGCCAGGACAGGAGCAGTGTTTTGGGAAGCTCTGTCTAGCAGCAGTGGGCAGAACAGGCTGGAGGAAGGAGCGATGGTGGGCGGGCAGGCTGTTCATAGCTCAGTGGGTTCATGAACTTGAAGTTGATAGGAAGCCCCTTCCCTTCCTGCTGAGAATCCCTGGGGCCATGGGCACTGGGACACAGACACAGAGGCTCATGGCTCCCCATGGCTCATTTGCTCTCAAAAACAAACCAACTCCAAAGCTGGGTGCTCACCAAGTAAGGTGCGCACACATGGAGGAACAAAGCCTCGTGGAGGCGGCGGCAGAGGAGAGAGGACGGCTCTGAAGGCGGCTGCTGGAACTCTGACGACAGGACCAGCTCACATCCCTGACAAGCAACACGGCCAGGTCCCGCAGTCCACAGCCAGCACCACGTGCAGGCGTGCCCGGTGCCTGGCCTCCAGCTCTGAGGAAGACACATTTCCCAAGCTTGCCTTTGCCAAGAGATGCATTCCTATCAGCATAGATGCTTAGGAGAACAGAGTCCAGGGCAATGCATTCGCTCGCTCTGTGGCTATTCTGTGGCTATTTGCTGAGTGTCTGCAAGGAGCCGGGCCAGCCGTTGTAGGCACCAGGGACCCTGCAGGGAACGAAACAGGCGCAAGTCCTATCTTCACGGAGTCTTCATTTCTGGGGTGGTGGGGGAGACGGCAAATACAGAAAAGATGTAGACAGAGTGTGCTGCAGGCAGTCAGTGCTTTGGAGAAGAAAGCAGGCCAGGGAACGTTGGATTGCATTGACTGGTGTATCTCTAAGAGGACACTGAAGGGAGACTTGAGGGAGGCGAGGGACCAGAGAGCTGGCCTGTGGCTTTCCAGGGTCACTGCTTTTCCCGCCTCCCTGGAGAGGTCCCCATAGCACCTCTGGAAAAAACCTTGCCCTGCCACTTACTGAGAACTCCCCTGTCAAGGTTTCCCCGCGTCCCCTCGTCTTGGAGAGCCGTGTGAAATGGACACATCGTCATTCTGACCTCCACTTTAGGTTCCTCCTTGGTTCCCTAAGCCCACTCTTGTGTCCCGAGAGTCGTCACTCATCATCCGATCATTTCTCTCCACCTTTGGCCCCAAAACTCCTGATGATTCCTCACTGTGCCCTGGATAAAACCCATAGCCCTCAGTGCGCTCTTCCAGTGTCTCCACCCATAGGCAGCCGCGCACCTGCCCGTGTGCGGGGACCCACCTTCTGTTCACACTCACACCTCCGCAGGTGCCAGCGCTGGTCCAGCCCCACTGCACCTGCCGCTCCCCATCTCTCCCTGTGTTAAAGGTCTCCCCATCTGCCCTCGGTGGGTCTGTGTGTCAACATGCATCATCTTCCCCTGGGGCCCAGTTGGAGATGGATCAACTCATTTCCAAGAGTTTTTTAAGCCTCTGGTACTATGCTGGACACCCCTCCCCCCTGGAGCTCATAGTTGAATCAGACAGAAGTCAAGAAAGCCAAATGGAAGCACAATGAGCAGGTACCTGCCCAAGCGCATGCCTAAGAGGCTCAGACCTCTCCCAGGGCAGGTGCAGGTCCCACTGCACAGGGCCAGCCATCCCCTGATGGGCTAAGGCAGACAAACGGGAGATGGCCTGGGCTGCAGGCTCCTCTGGGGGCACATGTGAAAGCTAAGCTAGGCCCCGTCTGCAGGAATAACCCTCCAGCATCCCCCAGAACCACGGCCCCAGCACTCCTGCTGCAGGCAGCAGGGAGCGAAGCCATGGGCCCGGCCAGCACAGGCACCGAGCGCTGACCACTGCCCCTTCCCTCTGACTCTTGTCTTCTTGCAGATGCTGCTCCCCTGCGCAAGCCCCGCACCTCACTGGAGAACTTCAAAAGGGTGGGGGTCCCCATCATCGCGGCACTGCTGAGCCTGGCAACCATCATCATTCTGGCTGTCCTCAGTAAGTGACGGCCCCCACCCATAGCCTCCTTCAGCTCCCACCCGCACAGGCGTGCGTGGGCGATCTGCCCGATGCCTTGCAGGAAAATCTTGTCTCTACCCCTGCTTCGAACGAAGCCTTCTTCTAAGATCGAGAGGGGGAGACAATCCCAGCCCCGGCGCCCCCAGATGACTTCTATCCCAGTTGATCTGCAGGGAGAGCTGTTCGGTGGCACCCAGTACAAACCCACACAGGCAATGGCGGGGCCACGCCCCCTGCCTCCTCCTCCCACCACCTGCACACAGGGAGCTGAGTGGATCTGAGCACGCTGCTCCTGGAAAAGCTGGAACGTTTCTGCTCACAAGGAGCGCACCCGAGAAGCCACCCTCAGCTCTGTCTCCCTCGTGGCCAGTGCCTGGGATCCAGGGAGCTCTTGAGCAGGCCACGTGGCCTCGAGGGAGATTGAACTGAATAAGCAGCCATTGCCAGGGCGCCCCCCTCCCCCGCAGCTCCCACACTCTGGAACTGGGTCCGCTGCTCAGAGCAGTTGCTGACCACACCTTCCCAGGCACCGGGGACCCAACCAGGAATCAGGGCACCTGGCACAGGGAGCCTGGCTCTGCCGCTTGCTACAGCGGGACCACGAGCAAGTCCCTCCGTCCCTCCTAACCTCAGCCTGTGAGATGCCCTGCCTCCCTCAGAGCAGTCTCCTGAGCCCTGGAGGCCCAGGAAGGGCGACCATCAGGGACAGGGCTGGGACAGCCCCTCCACTGAGCAGGTGCATTTCTGTCTCAACTGGCAGCAGGGTAAACACGGACCCACAGCCTAAACCCTGCCCGAGTCCCTGGGAGCCCTGGCTGCACGTGAGATGCAATTAACCCCACATCACTTCTTGGCCTGGGCTGGTCCACACCGAGGATGGTTTGCCAAGGGGTCGTGTTCAGAGTTTGCACTGCAGAGAGAGAAGGAGAGAGGGAGAGAGGGAGAGAGAAAGAGAGGCAGGCCACGGTTGTGCAGGGGAAGTCAGGCAGGCACAAAGGCAGAATTCAGCCCTGGACCCTCCCTGCCCTCCCAAATTCTGCAATCAAAGGTGGTCGCCCAGTCCGCCCTCCTGGGCTAGGTTCCTCCCGTCTTTTGGCTTCTGGGGTCTTGACTGGCAACCCCCTCTCTCGGCTTTCTCCCTGGAGGCTGTGGTGACCCTGCCTTCCCCTGGGCTCCTAACCATGACCCAGATTCCAACGGTGCAGGAAAAATCCACCCCCTCCAGCTCTCCCTTGTGTCCCATGGCCCAGGCACACAGGGGCCAGCAGGTCACAGCTGGAGTCCTGGCTGGGTCATACAAGCACTGTGTGGCCTTGGGAAGGAATGCTACCTCTTTCCTCCCCTTTCCCTGGTGTGAGATGATTGTGACACCTGCCGCCTAAGACGCTTAGGGGCATGTCCGAGGAGCTGTATGGGAAGCTCCTAGTGCAGTGATAACTGAGACCCTGCTTAGACTTGGAGCAGCCTGCCTGGAGAGGGGGCACCAGGCCGAGGGAGAGTCGGCCAGGGAGGAGGGCTCCTTCCTGCCAGTGGGGTTTGGCTGTGCATCCTCACCAAGCAAAAGGAGTTAAATGTCCGCTAAACGCCCGAGGAGTTTCAAACCCTCAGTGCATTCCCATGGGGCGAAGAGCTTTGACTCTCAAGGCAGCAGTGCATGTTCAGGACGGCAGGCAGAAAACCACACAAGACAAAACCCAGCCTCCTCCGGGTGTTTCCACGCCGGGTGAGAAGACCCGACTCTAGAACTGTGCTTACTCATACGAGACGCTTGCGCGACACTCAGCTCTCTGCGTGTTCCCAGGAGGCAGCGTATCATCCCATTGTGCAGATGAGGAAACTGAGGGCTAGGAAGGGGAAGGGATTGATGTAAAGTTGCACAACTGGTGCAGAGCCAGGACTCGGAACCCAGGTATGGGACTCCAGGACCCTGTTCTGGCTCCTCCTCCCTTAGCTGAGGGCCCTGAGCCAGCACTTGGGGGTAAGAGGATCGTAGAGCCTGTTCCTAAATTTACCCCTGACACACACACACACGCACACACACACACACACACACGCTCTCTTGACTCCTCAGCCATCTTGCAGGCCTGGGGCTGGGGTTCTTACCCCCACTTTGCCCACACAGCAGCTGCGGCCCAGCACCCAGCGTCCCTGCTGCTGGTAGGCAGGATGGAGCCTGGAACCCATGCCTGGCACTGCTCTCGGGGCAACAGAGCCTCCCCCTGCCAGAGGCGGCCGGCTTGACCCTCTGTGCCCCTCCCTGCTCTTGCCTTGCAGTCAAGGTGATTCTGGATAAATACTACTTCCTCTGCGGGCACCCCCTGCGCTTCATCCCCTTGGGACAGGTGTGTGACGGCCAGGCAAACTGTGCCATGGGAGAGGACGAGGAGCAGTGTGTCAAGGTCTTCCCTGAGCGACCCTCTGTGGCAGGTGAGTCCAGGGGCTGAGGGACGCCGGGAGCGGGCAGGAAGCTGTCCAGGGCACCCAGGCCCATGGCACAGCCTTTGACCACTGACCTGTGGGTTTACACCCCGTCACTAGGATTCTTTTTATTATGATTTATGTATTTGTTTATTTGAAAGGCAGAGTTACAGAAAGAAAGGGAGAGAGAGAGAGGTCTTCCATCCAGTGGTTCACTCCCCAAGTGGCCACAATAACCAGGGCTAGGCCAAGCCGAAGCCAGGAACCAAGAGCTTCATCCAGGTCTCCCACATGGATGCAGGGGCCCAAGCACTTGGGCCATCCTCCACTGCTTTCAAAGGCGCATCAGCAGGGAGCTGGACTGGAAGTGGAACAGCCAGGACAGCGCCCATATGGGATGCCAACACTGCAGGCTGGGGCTTTAACCTGCTGCGTCACAGTGCCAGCCCCCAAAATAAATGTTAACAAAACAAAACTAATGCCTATAAGAGAAAAAAAGAGCACTATTCATCATCGTGCCAGGGCAACGGGTCAAAATGGAACCTGACCCCAGGACATTTGCTCATCCTAGCTAACATCAAAACAAGGCTCAGATGAAGCCACATACAGGAACTGCCACTGATGTTGAAGGCGTTGGGTTGGGTGCGCTTGGACCAGGGTCCTAATGAGCTGGGCGGGAGCTGGATGACCCCTCGATGACCCTCGTTCCTCCCTCCCAGTCCGCCTCTCCAAGGACCGATCCAGCCTGCAGGTGCTGAACCTGGCCACGGGGAACTGGGCCTCTGTCTGCTTCGACAGCTTCTCACCAGCCCTGGCAAAGGCAGCCTGCGGGAAGATGGGCTACAGCAGGTACCTCCCAAGCCCCCGGAGCTGGCACCTCGCCCCGAGAGCCCCTCGTCTTCCTGCCTCTTTCCTCCCCTCCGCCTGCTTTCTCTCCCTCCTCTTTCTTTCCTAAAGACACAGGTGTCACCTAGGACTGTTTGGAGTCCCAGCACGTTTGCTCACCAGCAACGTGAAGTCACGTGAGTGCCAATTGCCTCAAGATGTATCAAGTGAGGTGATGCCGACCGCACAGGAGGATGGAGGGGCCGAGGGAGACTGCACGCGGCCCCGACACATAGACGCACACACACTAACACACACACACACATGCTCATACACTCATGCTCACACACACACACACACATGCTAACACACACGCTCACACACACACATGTGCTCACACAATGCTCACATGGTCAGTTCACACACACACTCACACACACATGCTCATACACACACATATGTGCTCACACACATGCTCACATGATCAGTCACACGCGTTCACATACATGCTCACATGCTTGTTCTCACACATGTGCTCACATGCATGCTCACACACACACATAGCTCCTTTGCAATCCTATCTCCCTCTATTCCTCAGGCCTTTGTCCTGACTTTGCAGAAGGCCGTTCGTGCCCACTAACACAGAAGGCCAGCTTAACCTCCTGGGAATCCCATTGGCTAAAACGCAGTGGACGTGAGCCTGGTTTCACCGGGACCCTCCACAGCAACCCCCGTGCTCACAGCAGTTCCACGTGGGGAGTAGACGCGCAGGGGTGCAATTATGGAAAGGGTAATTAGCATTTTACAGAGATGATTACATCCAGTTGCCCTCAGCACAGAACCGAGAAGTTAGTGCTTACTACATCTGTTCCCTAATGGGCTCCGAGCGGACAAGGAAGCTGCGTGGGTAGCAGCTGGAGGGAGAAGCCTGGAGCGGGGCCCAAGACCCTGAATTCCTTCGCGCTGTGCCCGCTCCCGGCTGGGGTAATTCCGTCTTCTCTCGGGCCGGTGAGCTAGGCGGTCACAGTCACGCCCAGGGCCCGCCTGCAGAGGGTGGGACAGAGCTTGTGAGTTCCAGGGCGCCGTGGCAGGCCCCAGACTCCTTCAGGATTCAGGAATCTGGGTCCAGCCACTAGGCAGAAACAATAAGCACTAGGGGCAGACATCACCAATCCATCGCAGACCTCTCCTAACTGGGGGGGTCCCTAGGCAGCCTCAGCCTGCTGTGCTGGGTGCAGCTGATGCAGCCTCAAGGCCCCTTTTTCAACCAATGCTCCTGGCAGCCATCATAAATCACCCACCCCAGCCCCACCCCCGGCCCTCCCCACTGAGTGTTCAGGCTCCCTGGCTCTCTACCCTCCCTGAGGCAGAAAGGCCACCCTGCCCCTTCCTCCTGGAGGAGAGAGTGGGCAGGCTCCCGGATGTCTGTCCCCCCGGGGCCCACTAAAGCACCAGGCCACTGCCCCCGGCTTTCTGCACACCTAACTTCCTCCGAGTTCTTCATCAGCTCGCTTTGCTGGGAGCGGCCACTTCCTCCTTCTGAGGCCCGGCTTTCTTCACCTTCCTCCCCGCGGGCTGGAGGCCACAGGTTGGCTCAAGGTGGGCTCTTACGGAGGGGAGCCGAGGCTAGGAGGAGCAGCGTGACCTCCTGAGCTCACAGGTCAGACCAGTGTGAAAGCCATGATAAAAGTCTCCTAAATCAGAGCCTGGTCCTCCCAGGCCCAGCACCTGGACCCACTGCCCAGGCAGTGCCGCTCAGGGGCACGGACTGACCCCAGCCCTCCACAAAGAGCTTGGACTAGTTGCCAGGGCAGTGGGGGGGGGGGGTAGAATATTTGGAAGAGGGAGATGCCTTAAAGGTTCAGAGAGATGGGATTAATCAGGAAGCCTTCCTAGAGGAGGAAGATTTAAACCAAAGATCTGAAAGAAGGCAACCTTGGATCAGTGAGAGGACGAGGGAGGGTGGTCCAGGTGAGGGATTCCCATGAAGACTGATCCAGGCTGGTCCCGTCTCCGAGGGAGCCACGCTTGTGCCCTCACTGTCAAAGCCAGACCCTACTCCTCGTTTGGAGCACAGAACATCCACCTCCACTTCCCTCCTGGATAAGGGAGCCCACCTGGGTCCCTGCATTTCCTTGTTCCCCCTTGTGCGAACCAGAAGGGATCACTGGGACACTGGAAATAGAGTCAGAGCCGGAAGTTAGGAAAGAAGATCGCTAACATTTTTCCAGGGCTCTGGGGTCTGGGCCTGGAGTCCTGGCCCAGGAAAGCAGGGCCGTGCCCGCGCTGCACCTGCACTGAGTGCTGGGAGCCAAGGGGAAGTCCCTCGATGTACAGCACAGCAGGCCCCAACTGCACTGGCCAAGGTCACCTGCCCTGCCCTGCCGCTCCCTCGGCCAGCCTCTGTCACCCTCTCCCGGGAGAGCCCCTCCCATCTCACTCCTGCCCGCCCACAGCTCCCCTTCTCACCTGACAGGACCAGCAACCCCACGTTCAGAGCTGTGAAGATTGGCCCAGACCAACAGCTGGATGTCGTTGAAATCACACAAAACAACCAGGAGCTGCAGGTGCAGAACTCAAGCAGGTGAGTGAGAGGTCACAAGGTGACCTGGAGCAGCCTGGCAGCAGGGAAGTGCACAGGAGGAGCGCCCAGGCGGGCTGACCAGTACGCACCACGGCCGCCAAGGCCCACCTCTGCAAGGTGCCCTGGGGAGGGATGGATGAAGTGACCGTTCGTTCATCCGAACATAAACCAGCGTGTTTGGGCCACTGCCTTAGGTTCCCTAACACACCCTCAAAAGGCAAGGTTCCAAGGTCACTTCATCCTGCCCCACTACTGCCCCAGGCCAGAGCGAGACCTCCCCAACACGCCAAGGCAGAGTCCCCATGGCCCATTCACACGCCCCGCCCCCGTGCAACAGGACGCAGCCTCGAGATAGGATCTGCCACGCGGTAGCGAGCTGGCTCAGATGCGGCCCAGGGCTGCTCGCTCAGCGCAGCGCAAATCCTGAAGAGGATGGGATGGACGGCACGATGATCGCGCACCTGGAATCCCATCCAAATCCTGCTCTCCCTCTCGGAAAGCCGGCACACTGTCCCAGGCTCTGCTCTCCTCTCGCTCAGGCTGCCACGTACCCAGGGGGCTTCAAAGCAGGCAGGGCCCAGCGCATAGTAGGTGCTCAGCAAGGAGTGGGGTGTTGAATCCAGTCCAACTCAACTGAGCGTTGGTGCAATTTCTACCCAGTCCCCATTGGCGTCAGGATCCGGGTTTCCCAGGTGCAGGGACTCAACACTGCCGGAGGCCCCCCTCCCAGCCCAGGCAGGAGCAGAACCCCAGGGAGCGCCCTGTCTCTCTTGCAGGCCCTGTCTCTCAGGCTCCCTGGTCTCCCTGACCTGCCTTGGTGAGTATGCCCTGTGTCTGAAGGTTTGGGGCTGCAGCCAGCAACAAGCAGTCGAGGGAGCATCCTCCTCTTCCTGAACCTCTCGGACCCCACGCTTCGCTCTGTCTTGCTCCGACCTTACGTCTGCAGTTATGGGTTTGTAGGTCCCTGCTCCTTCAGGGGGCCGATGGCATCAGGGTGCTTCCTCCAATGGTGCGCAGCCCCAGGCCCTGAGCAGAGGAAGCTGGGAGGGCAAGAGGGGCCTCCACCCACTCGGCCAGCCCTGCTCAGAGCACACGGCCTCCTTGGTCGCCATCAGCTCAGGTGCCGAGAGCAGCTCATCCGTGTGGGTTCAGCAGCTTCTCACCCGGCAGTTGCCCACATATGAAGTAGGTGCACCATTAAGGAGCCTGACTCTACCTTGCCAACAGAGGGCGCCCAAGGGCCTTTGAGGGAGGGCCAGGCACTGCAGAGCAGCTGGCTTGACGGGGTGGTATCCGAGAAGCCCCTGCCCAGAGCAGTGCCTGGCATGGAGGAAAGGGTAGCAGCCCTACCCCCGCCCCCAGGAACGACCCCCATGGCAGGGGTGAGGACCGGGGAGGTAGGGTGGGGCTGGAGGTTGGGGAAGACAGGATGTCAGGTTGACAGCCTCCCTTAGCAGGGGGAAGGAACTTGGGGAAAGGTGGGTTTGGGATGGGAAAACCCAGTTTCTAGAACTTTCCTCCCACTTCCGGGCCCCAAGGCAGCTCGTGGGCGTGTGTTTACTGCTACTCCGTGGGAGCGGCTGGGGACACTCCGCCTGGGCAGGGCTTTCATAGTTCTGCTGTTTGGCTGGAAGGTCATGAATTCCCGGCACACTGGGTGCGTCCGTGTTCACAGCCTAAGCTCCTTAACAATCCAAAGCCCCAAAGAGGAGAGAGGGAGGCTCGGGGAAGACCTGCGGTCTCCCCAGAAATGATTCAGAATCGGCCTGGTGCTCCCCGGCCAGGGGCCCTGGTGGGAAGCGGCCCCACCCCTCCAGGGCCTCACCTCCTGCTTTCCCCTCCTCCCTGCCACCCCAGCCTGTGGGCAGAGCCCCAAGGCCCCTCGCGTGGTGGGCGGGCAGCAGGCCTCTGTGGATTCCTGGCCTTGGCAGGTCAGCATCCAGTACAAGAAGCAGCACGTCTGCGGAGGGAGCATCCTGGACCCCCACTGGATCCTCACGGCAGCCCATTGCTTCAGGTAAGACCTGGCTACAAGTTCACCCAAGGTCAAGGTCACAGAAGTGGTGACCCAGAGCCTGGAGCCCGGTCTCCTGGATTGGTTTCCAATCTGCTCCCCGACCCCTGCCAACTGCATGCTCTCTCGGAGACCACGGCCAGGGGGTGGCCACTCCAGCGAGACCCTGGCCTTGGCACCCTTTGTTAGGAAGCAGGGCCCTGGTCACCCAGCTTGACCACTGTGCAGTGGGAAGCCATCAGACGCTCACCCCCGTGTCATTCACTCCCTCCTGCCAGCCTTCCAGGAAGCAGTGGCAGAGTCTAGAGCCACTGCCACGCCCCCTCAGGTAAAGGGTTCCTTGAGCAGGTTTCATGAGGAAAAAGAACCAAGTCCTCCTGTGGAATCTGACGCTGCCCCTGCCCCACCATCGTGTCACACCCGGCACCAACGTCATGGCACAGCAGAACCACAGCCCTGGGCAGAGCCTTCCAAGGCTTGGCTCAGGCCCAAGCCCAACGGTGTCTGTCCCCAGGAAGCACCTCGACGTGTACAGCTGGAAGGTGCGGGCTGGCTCAGAGAAAGTGGACGACTCCCCGTCCCTGCCTGTGGCTAAGATCTTCGTCTCCGAGTACAACAGCTCGTACCCCAAGGAGAAGGACATCGCCCTGGTGAAGCTGCAGTTCCCGCTCACCTTCTCAGGTGAGAGCGGCGATCCAAGCCCCGCGGCTCAGCTCCAGGCGCCCCTTGACCTCGGGTCACCACTCCCCGCCCCCGCTGCCCCCCCAGACCGTGCCAGCTCCCAGCCCCCAGCTGTCAGCCGACACCTCACACTGCCCCCTGCTGGAGATTTTCCCAAGGTCCCTTTTCTCCCTTTGGGGCCCCTCTGGTGAGAATCACAGATTCACTCCATCTTGGAACTGGGAGGGTCCTCTTTAAAAAGACCGTCCAGTCCATTCCCCACCCCCGACCGGTGCCCGAGAGCCTGTGTGGCATCACTGCCTGCTCTACTCCAAAAGCAGGGAGCTCAGGCTGGTGCCGTGGCTCACTGGGCTAATCCTCCGCCTTGCGGCGCCGGCACACCAGGTTCTAGTCCCGGTCGGGGCACCGGATTCTGTCCTGGTTGCCCCTCTTCCAGGCCAGCTCTCTGCTGTGGCCAGGGAGTGCAGTGGAGGATGGCCCAAGTCTTTGGGCCCTGCACCCCATGGGAGACCAGGACCTGGCTCCTGCCATCGGATCAGCGCAGTGCGCCAGCCGCAGCGCGCCAGCCATGGCGGCCATTGGAGGGTGAACCAAAGGCAAAAACCTTTCTCTCTGTCTCTCTCTTTCTCACTGTCCACTCTGCCTGTCAAAAAAAAAAAAAAAAAAAAAAAAGCAGGGAGCTCACTATCTTTGAAAAACGAATTCCCCTTTACTTTTTTTTTAATGAGGTATCCTCTTAAAAGTTTTTTTAATACGCATTTTATTTGAAAAGCAGAAAGGGAGGTCTTCCAACTGCCAGTTCGCTCTCCAAATGCCTGCCGCAACCAGGGCCAGGCTAACCTGAAGCCAGCAGCCCACAACTCAACCCGGGCCTCCCCCATGGGTGGCAGGGACCCAAGTACTTGAGCCGTCACCTGCTGTCTCCCAGGGGGTACCTTAGCAGGAAGCTGGACTGGAAGTGGAAGAGCCTGGACCGGAAGTGGGCACGCCAATGTGGGATGCGGACGTTCCAAACGGCATCTTAACCGCTGCACCACAGATCCTCCCCAGAACCCATTGCTCTTTTTTTTTTTTTTGCATTTATTTATTTATTTGAGAGTTATACAGAGAGAGAAAGAGAGCACGCGCGCGCGCGCGAGAGAGAGAGAGAGAGAGAGAGAGGTCTTCCATCTGCTGGTTGGCCAGAAGGGCCGGAGCTGCACAAATCCAAACCCAGGAGCCAGGAGTTTCTTCTCGGTCTCCCACGTGGATGTAAGGGCCCAAGGACTTGGACCATCTTCCACTGCTTTCCCAGGCCATAGCAGAGAGCGGTATTGGAAGTGGAGCAGCCGGGATTCGAACCAGTGTCCATATGGGATGCCAGCGCTGCAGGTGGTGACTTTACCCACTACACCACGGCGCCGGCCCCAAATCCATTACTCTTAAGACAGCCTGCAAATCCTTGAATAGCTCTGTTAGTTGCCCCGTGGTTACACTGCGTAGTATTAAGGTGGGCGTTTCCCACTGTGGGTTCTATGGGACAATGGTCCCTTGGGGAAGAGGGGTTCTACTGGCAAATCACTTTGGGAAACATTTCCAAGCTGCAGCTCCCCTCTTGGAGTGAGGTAGCATACTTAAAGTGTGAAATGCCTTTCAAAGGCATCTGTTTGCTCGTGTTTACCCCATGTTTGCCGACCTTATCTGACCCCCGACTCCTTTTTTCATGCCACCCGGTTGGCATCCCACAGAACAGTGGTGTAGAAGCGCAGGTGTGGACTTTTCCAGGGCGTAGGTACCCGGCTCTCCTGAACCCTGGCCCTGTTTCTGGATTTGTGCCTGGGATTTGCTTTCATGAGGTATGGTAAGGTGACCGACACGGGGGCACCTACCTTTAAAGGAGAGTTTCTTACTTGCAGTTCCTGAGAGAAGGGGACGTCCTACACCACACCTGGACACGGGGTGACAGCACGCGGTCACTCAGTCGTTACTGAGGTTTCCATGGAGAAGTGTGGGCAAGGCAGCGTGCAAGTATGAGCGAGCTTGGGGTTGTGCAGTGTGAAGAGCTGTCTGGGCTCTGGAGGTTGATCTCCAGTTGTCCAGTCCCCAACTCTGGGGTGGTTTAGGGCAGGGGAAAGATTGGCTTAGTGGGTGGAGTTCTGGACAGGGGTGGTTAGGCATATGGGCTTTGCACTGGTCGGTTTACACATTAAAGACATTCCCTGGGCAGGTGCTTGCTACCTCCAGGACTTAACCAACCCAGTCCCTCCCAGACCAATGAGATCCCCACAATGTCAAAGCACAGTAACATACTGAAAACAAAGCCGTCATTAACACGGGGCCTCTCTCCTCTCTGCTCCTGGCAGACACAGTCAGGCCCATCTGCCTGCCCTTCTTCGATGAGGAGCTCCCTCCAGCCACCCCGCTCTGGGTCGTGGGCTGGGGCTTTACAGAAGAGGGTGGAGGTAAGTCCTGGGCTCAGGGCCACAGGGCAGGGGATGCCCTTGGAAGAGGCAGTGGGAAGGTCACCCCTCGGGAAAATGCATCCTGGAGGACCAAGCTCCAAGGTGCCAGGCCCAAGGCAAGGTGTTCTGGCAACCCAGAGAATGAAGTCGGGCTGGGGGTGAAGGGCAAGAACGGGACTGTGAGTGCGTTTTCAATCTCCCAGGGAAGATGTCCGACACGTTGCTGCAGGCGTCCGTCCAGGTCATTGACCACACACGGTGCAATGCAGAGGATGCATACCAGGGTGAAGTCACCGAGACAATGCTGTGTGCAGGCATCCCGGGAGGTGGTGTGGACACTTGCCAGGTGGGGCCTCCAAGAGTCACGGGGAGTTCTGTGGGTAGGGATGTAGGTCCTAGAGAGATGGAAAGGTTCAGAGGCTGAATGCCCCATGTGGGTCCTTGTGTACAATGGGCACTCAATGTGTGATGAAGGCAGGGAGAGATGGAGGGAGGGGAGGAAAGAATAGAGTCAGGTAAAGATCTAAGTATGGGAGGATGGATGGGTGGTGGATGGATGGGTATATGGATAGGTGGGTGGATGGGCGCATGAGTGAATGGATAGATGGTAGGTGGTTGGATAGGTGGATGGATGGATGGATGGTTGGATGAAAGGGTAGGTGGGTGGATGGATGGATGGGTGAGTGGATGGATGGATGTGTGGGTGGGTGAATGGATAGGTGGATGGATGGGTGGTTGGATAGGTGGATGAAGTGGTAGATGGGTGAATGGATGGGTTGGTGGATGGGTGGATGGGTGAATGGATGGATGGATGGATGGATGGATGGATGGATGGTTGGATGGTTGGATAGGTGGGGTGGGTGCATGGTGGGTCTGTAGATGAGTGCTGATAACTAGAAAGACTTCAAGTGTCTAGTTCACACACAAAGATGACAAGACACTAGAAAACCCATCTCACACTGGATGAACCCTGGTGCATGTCCCCTCTCCACCTCACCAGCCATCAGAACTGCTTAGCAATCCCCTGCATTTTTTCTCACTACCCACCCCCATTTCCAGAGGAGCTTCTAAACCATTTTCATTACAATCCTTTCTGCGCTGCCACCCCCATATCCAAACATCCAGTTCCTTCATCCAAGAGACATCTCCTGTGTGCCACAAACATGGTGTGCCTGCCCTCAGGAAGCTCATGGCTGGGAGGGTGGATTGCATGGAAACAGGCTCTCGTACTGCAGTGTTAACGGGTTTGGAGGAAGCCAGTCAGACGGGCGCGAAGTACTTTCCTCTATGTGATGTTTTCTTGTCTATTTGCTTGTCTGTTGTCTCTGTCTTCCACTCTGTTAGAGACCTTCGGTTTTCTCATTGATTGAATCCCAATTGCCTAGAATAGTCCCTGGCACAAAAGAGACACTCTGGAAATGGTTAACTGAACTGGAGAACTCCTCAGTTAGACAAAGATAACCCGACTCCTGCAGGGTGCCGGGAGCCTCCGATGAGCTGGCGTGGGCTGTGGATCTCTGTGAGGGCTGACAGCATGCCCCAGCCAGCCTGACCTCACATAGGCTCCCAGAAAGCGGAGTGTTCCAGGTGTAGGCCCAGCATGAGTGCAGGCAGCGAGGGAGCACAGAGGAACCCATGGGCTGGTTCAGGAGGCGGGGAGGAGATCCCCGGCCCCTGGCCTGCCTCCACCAGCAGCCCCTGGTCCGGCCTCTCACAGGGCGACAGCGGTGGGCCCCTGATGTACCATGCTGGCCAGTGGCAGGTGGTGGGCATCGTGAGCTGGGGCCATGGCTGCGGGGGCCCAAGCACCCCAGGAGTGTACACCAAGGTCGCCGCCTATCTCGACTGGATCTACAATGTCAGGAAGGTGAGTATGGGCCCCCTTCCCCTCCCTCCCTCCCTCCACCCTGCAGCTGCCAAGCTGTCCTTTAGCGTGAAGTCAGTGTCTCTGAGGTGGTTTCACATGCAAATCCCTGTCCCTCCCAGCAAGCAAGCCGCAGGAGAGTCCCCTACTAAAGGCAGAAATTCCACAGGGCACAGATTCCTGCCCGGTGCAAGCACCTTAGGCTGCAGCCGCCCGAGCTCTATCTCTGCCAATTTTCTGCTAGAGTAAGACTCTCAGGACCTTCCCAGAGAGAAGATTCTGGGGTCTTCCTGGCCCCTTGAGGGGAGAGGGAAGCAAAGTCCCCCCGAGAAGGAAGAGCATCCCGCAGTGGTCACCACTCAGTCCTGTTTCCCGTCACCCGACACACTCTCTGTCACCCTCTCTCGCTGCAGTCTGAGCTGTGATGCTGCCCCCCCACTGCGGTGCTGGGAGCTGCTTCTGTCTCCCCGACACACATGGGGATCCCGCAGAAGACAGACACAGCAGGAAGAGCCGGGTGGGACTCGCCTCTCTGCCACCTCAGCATTGCTTGGAGCAGCTCAGGGCCTCCATGCCCGTGAGAGACCTCCAGAGCCCGGAGACAGCATAAGGGAGATGGCCCACCTCCGCCTGTAGCTGCCAGCATCCCAGGGAGACAGGCAGCCCCTGAACTGGCCAGCCTGGGGGCCACGGGCTCAGAGATGTCGCTGGACAGCAGCAGAACTTTCCACCGTACCGACTCACGTTTCCCCAGAGTGAGAGCCAGGGCGGAGAGGGGCTGAGCCAGCCTCTGCCTCTCCACTCAGCCTCACGCCCCCCGGAGCAAGGCACAACGCACTGTCCCACTGTCGCCGTGCCTACTGTTACCGCCTGCGAGACTGCCGCTTGTGTCTCTGTGGCACTATTATTAACCGGCTGTTGAAATGGTCAACGTGGACTGGCTGGGCTGCTGGGCGAGAACCAGGTTAGGATTGCAGGGCCCGAGAGCTTTGGGCCTGCGGAGGAAAAGGTCCTGGAGAAGGGACGGCTTCTCACAATCGAGGCAGGGGAGGAGACTCGAAGCAGCCTCCTTCCCACACGGCCCCTCCAGGCCTCTGCCTCCCCCTGCAGGCTGTGATGGAAGGCAGAGAAGTTCCTGAATGGCTGGAAGGGGATCTTGCCCGCAGAGAGCCTCCAGGGTGAAGAAGGGGGAGGGGAAGGAGCCGGGTCACCTCCAGGTCTACGGTAGTCCCTAGGCTGAGGACAGAAGCACGAAGGGGTCTCTGCACGCAGAACCGAGCTCCGTGGACGTCTCTGACAGCTCTGTGGGACCCCCTCCCTACCCATAGTTGAGTCAGATCCTAGATAAAATCTGCTCATTAATGCTTTATGGGTTCCTGGCCCAGCCCTGGCTGTTGCGAGCATCTGGGGAGTGAACCAGCGATGGAAGATATCTCTCTCTCTCCCCCCACCCCTGTCACTCTGCCTTTCAAATCAATAAACAAAGAAACTGTCAGTCGAAACTAAGATGTTCTTCTAGGAACAATAAAGCAAAATCTTGGGTTGCCCTGGGGACAGAGACCTGTAGGCTGAGATCAAAACTAAACCCGAAGTGGCTGGCTCTGTGGTGCAGTGGGTTAAAGCCATGGCCTGCAGTGCCGGCATCCCATACGGGCAATGGTTCAAGTCCTGGCTGCTCCACTTCCGATCTATCTCCCTACTAATGGCCTGGGAAAGCAGCAAAGGATGGCCTGAGAGCTTGGGGCCCTGCACAGGTGTAGGAGACTGGATGAAGCTCCTGGCTCTGGGCTTCAGCTTGGCCCAGCCCTGGCTGTTGCAGCCATTGGAGAAGTGAACCAGTGGATGGAAGATCTCTATCTCTCTATCTCTATCTCTATCTCTATCTCTATCTCTATCTCTATCATCTCCTTCTCTCTCTCTCTCTCTCTCTCTCTCTGTAACTCTGCCTTTCAAATAAATAAATCTTTAAAGAAAAAAAACTAAACCTGGACCCCCTGCAGGCAAGGGTGCTGAGCCTGGGACTCCTACGTGGAGCAGAGACGGCTGAAGGGGGCTAATGTGTCCCAGGCACAGACCCTCTGGAAGAAAGCATCTCCAATTCAGGATCTCAGCATTCCCAAAGATCCTCCAAATGTGAGTTCACCATCAGGGTCAGAGAAGATGCTAAAAAGGAAACCTGGTGGGAATCGTGGGAAACTGCTGACTCAGGATTTTCGGTATCAGAATGATCAGGTAAGAATACTTATGGAGTATCTCCTTGTGCCAGACACTGTCTAAGTGTTTCATCGTGTGCTGGTGCATTTAACACTCACACAGGCCCGAGAGAGAGGTACTCTCTTGGCTCATTTATGGATAAGGCACACTGAGATTCAACACCTTGCCCGAGGTTACAACCTTGTGAGTGGAACCTGAGGTCTGACTACAGAACCTGTGCCATGAGCCACCCCACTGCAGGGCCTCCAACGTGGTCATTCACAAAGTATTTACATAGATTTTAAAATGGGTGCTATTTCCACAATTTTAAAATTACTTGTGTGGTGAAATGCAAGTCACCATCCTCGCCATTTCACGCGTGGGGTCCAGTGCCACCGAGCACCCTCACCCGCTGTGCAGCCACTGGCGACATCCACCTCCAGAACCGGTCACCTTGTGGAACTGAAACTGCACCGTTCAACACCTCCTGCTCTCCACTCCTTCCAGCACTTGCAGCCACCATTCTGCTTTCTCTCTCTACAAGTTTGACTCCTCCAGGTACTTCCTCTAAGGGGAAATCATACAGTATTTGTCTTCTGTGCCTGGCTTATTTTCCTTAGCACAGTATCTTCAAGGTTCACCCCTGTTGTAACATTGCCAGGCTGAACAGCGATGCATTGTTTATACCACATTTTTGCTTGCCCAATCGTCTGTCAAGTGACATTTGAGTTGCTTTCGTCTCCTGGCTGCTGTTGAATAATGCTACTATGAACTTAAGAGTACAAAAATATCTTTAAGACTTTGCTTTCAATTCTTTTGGATATATGCCCAGGAGTGTAATTGCTAGATCATATGATAGGTTTATTTAATTTTTTGAGGAACCACACTGTTTTCCATAGAGGCTGCATAATTTATATTCCCATCAACAGTTCTAGTCTCCCCACATCCTCACCAACACTTGCTATTTCTATTTAAAAATTGATATATTGGGAAGAGGAGACTGGTGGTGTGGTACAGTGGGTTAAGTCACTGCCTGCAATGTGTGCATCCCATTTGAGCACCAGTTTGAGTCCTGGCTGCCCCACTTCTGATCCAGCTCCTTGCTGATGTGCCTGGGAAAGCAGTGGAATATGGATGGCCTGAGTACTTGGGCCCCTGCACCCCCATGGGAGACCCAAGCAGAGTTCCAGGCTCCTGGCTTCAGCCTGATGCAACTCCAGTCATTGTGACCATTTGGGAAGTGAACCAATGGGTGAATGAGCATTCTGCCTCTCTGTCTCTCCCTCTCTCTATATATAAAACCCTGTCTTTCAAATAAATAAATAAACCTTTTTAATTGATGTTTTTAATAATTAATCAAAATGACAAGTATATTTGAAAAATCAAATATAGTTATTAGAAGTAAAAACTTACATTATTAAAATGAAAAACCAAGTGGATGGGATAAATAGCTTTAAAGACACAAATTAAGAGAGATGAATAAGCTGGAAAATGGAAAAATTTACTAAGTTTATAGCAGAGAGGAGAGGAGGTGACTTTGAGCGATCAAGGCCAGAATGTTGAAGTCTAATATATCCAGAGTCCCAGAGGGGGATAGAGACAATGCCCAAACAGCAGAAAATATCCCAGAACCAATTAAAGGCACAAATCCACAGATCCAGCAGACACCCATACAACCATGGCAGAAAAGTTACAACAAATCCACACCTAGTTATGTTATAGTGAAGAAGCTTCAGAACACCGAGCATGGAAAGAGACTTGAAAACAGCCAGAGAGAAAGCCAGGTCCACCACAATACCATGTTAGACAGACAGCAGACTTTCCCACAGCAACACAGGAGCTGGAAGGCAGTGGAACTGTTGACCATATCAACAGACAATAAATGTTGTGTGCTGACATTGTGGCACAGAAGGTTAAGCCACATCCTGTAATGCCAGCATCCCATTTGAGCAGCTACTCTGCTTCCAATCCAGTGCCCTGCTCATGCACCTGGGAAAGCAGTGGAAGATAGCCCAAATACTTAAGCCCCTGTCACCCATGTGGGAGACCTGGATGGAGTTCCAGGATCCTAGCTTCAGCCTTGCCCATCCCTGGCCATTGTGGCCATCTGGGGAGTGAACTAACGGAAAGAAGATCTTTCTGTCTAACTCTGTCTTTCAAATAAATAAATCTTAAAAATTATTTTTAAAAAGATAACAGCAGTCAATCAAGAATTGTGAACCCTACAAAACTGTGCTTCAAAAATAAAGATTTTTCAGGAAAACAAAAACTGAAAGTTTACCACCAACAAATATCCTCTAAGAGCATCTAAATACTTTAGGAAGAAGGAAAATGATCCTCAAGGGAAACGTGTACCTGAGTCATGGAATCAATGCATGTGTAGACGACGGCACCAAGCACGTGAGGAGAATTCAGAAGTTCATGAAAATACATGTTGTGAGGAAACTATGCATGGATCTCAGACGTGTTTGCCCCGAAACAGACTTAGCTCTCCCTTCTCTGTTTCCACAGAACTCTTAGAGGGTGCTTGTGTGTAGAACCAAATCCTCAACACTTAAATAGATACCAGAACCCTTTTATAAAACTGACCATACGCCAGTCCGTGAAGCCTCAATCTACTTCAAGTGGAGTGTGGACCCCAGACGTCCGATTTCCAAGCAGCCTGGCCTGAGTGCTCAGACTCCACTCACCTTCCTGGCTGCCTGCTCCGAGGCAACCCAGCTCCAGCCCCTCCCATTCCCACCACTGAAAAGCCCTGGCCAGCTCTGTCGCCTCCTGTCCTAACATCACCACTGGTGTCCTCCTCCTCCCCTGGTGCCAGGGCTGGGCTTCGGCTCGGTGGCCTTCATCACACACTGCGGGACAGCCCATTTGGGTACCAGCCAGAAACATCAAGTCTGCAACTGACAGCCAACCAGAACCAGCTGAACAAGACTGAGAGCCCGCCTTGTTAGCAGACTCACCTGCCCTATCATCCTACCCTGAGAAACTGCCCATAGCCACATCACTACTGTTTTTTACCCCACTAGCTCCGGTCAGCCACTCGAAAGGCCCACAGCCTGTGTGCAGTCACAGCATTCCTGATAACCATTATTCCTCATTCCTACCCCCATCTGAGCAAGCACTCCTGTAGTCTCCCGTTTTGAGTGCTGGTTAGTCAATGACAGGTAAGATCCCCTGGGGGACAACCCAAGACAGGCACAGCCACGTACAGAGACCACATGGAAATGGGGTCAACAATGGTATGGCCAAGAATCATGCCTCCTGTTGCTCAAAAATAAATGAAAAGGGAGAAATGTGGTGGAATGAGAAGGCCATGCCAAGATGGCCACTGGCAACAGAAACTGCCTGGCAACAGGCTGTGATTGGGTGGCTTTGGAAACTGCCTGGCAACAGGCTGTGATTGGTTAGTGCATAGACCACCCCTTGACCAGATTGGCTGCCTTGGCTATTTAAGCTGGTGTACCAACTGAAACGAGTCTGCAGGCTTCTCCCCTCTGGCCTGCTTTCACCTGACTCCCGAGGTCTGTGTGGTGACTCCACGCCTCTTGCCCCACCACACTCCTCCTCTCAGAACGAATCCACAGCAACAACACACCCTCCATGGCGAGAGCTCCAGCGGTTCCAGGCCCCAGAACCCATGACTGTACCAAGAGAGCTCGGGCTCCCCAGGACTGCCCAGTGCGAAGGGAGCAAAACGTGGAAATGATTGTCCAGGTTGTAAGTGGAAGGCAGCAGCCAGCAGGTCAATTGCTCAACCTTGCTCCCCAGGACAGAGGAGTCAGAGAAGTGCCAACCCCCAGGGATGGCCTTGTGCTTCAGCAGTGGGCTGTGCTGCGATAGAGCCGAGCTAAGCCAGTATCTCAGCTCCTTGAGGTGCTGTCCTCCAGTCCCGCCCACAGCCCTCCTCTGCTTCCTCCTGCTTCCCTGGGACTCACCCCCCAACCCAGAGAGAAGAAGCCAGCCTGGGAGGAGACACTCAAATTAGGTTCTCACTGTGTTGCTAAATTACAAGGCAATAGCAAATCACTTTCAGCCTACAAAATACATATGTGATTTAACAAATGCTCATAGAGGCAGGCGTGTGGCACGGAGGTTCCCTGCACCCTTAACCAGAGGGCCTGGTTTTCAGCTACTCCGCTTCCAAGTCAGGTCCTGTCAGTGTGCCCCTGGGGGCTCAGATGCCGGCTCAAGCACCTGGGTCCGTGGCACCCACATGGTAGACAAAGAGGGGGGTCCCAGGCTCTGGCTTCTGCCTGGCCCAACTCTGGCTCTTGCAGGTATTGGCTACCAGCCAATGGAAGATCTCTCCCTCTCCTCCCTCTCTGTCTCTCTGTTGCTCAGCCTTTCAAATAAATAAAACTTGAAAAAATATATAAATAGGTTAAAATTAAAACACTTTTAAATAATAAGTCAATGAAGAAGCTATAAAGAAAAATGTACTAAAATTGAATGATAATAAAATATATAACGTGGATATTATGGTCCCATCCGGACAGACACCCACGCAGCCGCATCCACGGCACGATTTCAGGACTGGGTTGTGGGGCGGGCCTGCCTCGGCGAGCTGCCCTCAGCACAGGTGATTCTGCCAGGAACGCCAGAGGGGAGCGGGCGGAGGCTCTCACCGCGCTGCTGAGGGGAGCATGCGAGAGCAGGTTGGCGCAGAGGCAAAATGCCCTCCCGGGTTTATTATTTTTTTTTTTAATTTAAGAGCTGGAGAGAAAGAGCTCCCATCCTGTGGGTCACTCTCCAAAGGCCTCCGACAGCCTGTGCTGACCTGGGGCAGAGCCAGGAGCTGGGGACACAGCTCGGTCACCCACTGGGTGGCGGGAATCCAACAGCCTGAGCCATCCAGGAGCCAGGAATGAGACCTGGGCGCGCCTGTGTTCTGTGTGGGCATCTTGGTTGGATCTTAACCACCAGGCCAGATGCTCACCCCAGACTCTCCCCTACTTCATAAGAAAGGAAGGGGGTGGGTCCCAGAGAGGCAAGTCCTCACCAGGGTGAGCCTGGCTCCCCAATTCCAGTCCACAGCCATCCTCATGACAAGGTACTTCTGACCTCATCTAAACGCCAGGACTGTTAGTGTTGGGGGGCGGGGGGCAACGGGAGAACTTTAATGAGTGCTGCATTGTGTGTGCAAGTGTCCTGGGGCAGAAATATATGAAACAGTGGAAGACTAAATAGGCACATCCCCAACCCAGGGAGGCGACTCTAGCAGGTGGGAGCAGCAAGGACCAAGGCCCAGACTTGAAGGGGCTCGACGAGGAACGGGGAAAGTGTCGGGTGAGAGAGAAGGCCGCATGGGAAGATGGGAGGAGAGATGTGAAGTGAAGTGGCTCGGCTTTGGAGGCAAACAAACCTTGACTCAAAATCGTGTGTGTGCGTGAGTGTATATGCATGTGTGTGTGCGTGTACACAAGCATGTGTGTGCGTGCATGAGTGGATATGCATGTGTGCATGTGTGTACATGAGCGTGTGTGTGCGTGTACACAAGCGTGTGTGTGTGCGTGCATGTGTGTGTACACTAGTGTGTGTATGCATGTGTGTACATATGTGAGTGTGTGTGTGCATCTGTGTGTGTACTCACATATCACAAAAATGTTACACATTTCAAACATTCTGAAACAAAGATCTGAAGTCACCCACTCCACTCTGACCCCTGTCACCCTCCTCAGAGACCACCTCTGAGCCAGCTACACAAGCACTGAACGCCTCTTGGCCTCCATTTCCTCTTCTCTAAGTTGGGGCTGATAATAACGGTTCCCACCCCGCGGCTGCTGCAAGGCCTGGGTGACAGCGGAGCAGGCAGGAAGCACCTGCAGGCTCTCAGTTCCTGCGCGCGGCCCCTCAGCACAGTCGCCGTGCAGCCGGCCAGGGCTGGGCTGCCTTCTTGCCTGCTTTACCGAATCAGGGCTGGGGCACATCAGCCGCGAAGTCATTTGGCCTGGCCCTCCTAAGGCAGCCGCAGGAGGGACTCACTATCCAGGGATTCTATAGCAGGCTAATTTTTAAATTGGTCATTTTTTAAAAAGATTTATTTTTATTTGAAAGGCAGAGTTACAGAGAGGCAGAGGGGGGCACGTCTTCCATCCGCTGGTTCACTCCCCAGGTGGCCGCAATGGCCAAGCTGCACTGATCTGAAGCCAGGAGCTTCTTCCAGGCCTCCCATGCAGGTGCAGGGGCGCAAGGACTTGGACATCTTCCACTGTCTTCCCAGGCGCATTAGCAGGGAGTTGGATCAGAAGTGGAGCTGCCAGCATCCATGTGGGATGCCGGCACTGCAGGCAGCGGCTTTCCTGCTGCGCCACAGCGCCGGCCCCTAGGGGACATCTGTAAGCTGTCTCTGTGCTTTGGCTTTATCCAGGGTAAAATGGGGATCATTGAAGTGACCTTCCAAGGCTGCATGGGATGTGATGTGAGGCTGACAGGAATTCAACCCTTACTCTGCAGAGTCGTTGCTCCCAGAAGACTTCATACTTATTGTCTGGGTCCCCTCACAGACGAGGAGGGCAGAGGCCAGGGAAACCCCGGCTTTCCCACCCTCCTGCCCGCCGTGCTCAGGGCGAGAACTGCGTTTGGGTCAGGGACTCAGGTCCATAGCTTCAGGCTGGCGCTTCTCCAACATGCACACAAATCACTGGAGACCTGGCTACAAAGCAAGCTCTCCGTCTGTCCATTACGGAGGGGCCTGAAATTTTTTTTTCCAGGCAGAGTTAGACAGTGAGAGAGAGAGAGAGAGAGAGAGAGAGTTATAGACAGTGAGAGAGAGACAGAGAGAAAGGTCTCCCTTCCGTTGGTTCACTCCCAAGATGGCTGCCATGGCCGGCGCTACGCCAATCCGAAGCCAGGAGCCAGGTGCCTCTCCTGGTCTCCCATGGGGTGCAGGGCCCAAGCACTTGGGCCATCCTCCACTGCCTTCCCGGGCCACAGCAGAGAGCTGGACTGGAAGAGGAGCAACCGGGACAGAATTTGGCGCCCTGACCAGGACTAGAACCTGGGGTGCCAGCACTGCAGGCAGAGAATTAGCCAAGTGAGCCACAGCTCCGGCCAAAATTCTGCATTTCTGATGAGGTCCCAGCTGAGACTCACTCTTCTAGTCTGTGATGTGTGTGTGTCTGTGTGTGTGTCTATTTGTGTGTGTGTCTGTGTGTGTGTCTATTTGTGTGTGTCTGTGTGTGTGTGTGTGTGTGTGTGTCTGTGTGTGTGTGTGTGCAGCCAGGGCCCAAGACTCTTGGGGCCCCCATGACTCGCTGGGAAGCCCCGTGAAGCGGCTATGCCTTGCACCTGCCCAGGCAGCTGACTCCCGCATCCGTTCTGTTCCCAAGGGGCTGCCCTCTCTTGGAGTGGGCCAGGCACCTCTCAAGGGACCCAGGTCCCTGAGGACTCCACCTATTCAAGGAAATTAGCAAAGGTCTAGGGCCCCTCCCCCCCAGAGAACAGACCCAGCCCCTGATCCCATGGGGTTTATATTCTAGTTAGCGGAGGTGCACAACAAACAAGGGAGCACATATATGCCTGGTGGAGATGGGTGCATTTTTAAAAAATTCATTTTGTCAGGCCAGCGCCGTGGCTCAATAGGCTAATCTTCCGCCTGTGGCGCCACTACACTGGGTTCTAGTCCCGGTCGGGGCGCCGGATTCTGTCCCGGTTGCCCCTCTTCCAGGCCAGCTCTCTGCTGTGGCCAGGGAATGCAGTGGAGGATGGCCCAAGTGCTTGGGCCCTGCACCCCATGGGAGACCAGGAGAAGCACCTGGCTCCTGCCTTCGGATCAGCGTGATATGCTGGCCACAGCGGCCATTGGAGGGTGAACCCACGGCAAAAAAAGGAAGACCTTCCTCTCTGTCTCTCTCTCTCTCACTGTCCTCACTGTCCACTCTGCCTGTCAAAAACAAAACAAAACAAAACAAAACAAAACAAAAAGAAAACCTCCAAAGTCCTTATTACTAAACATAACTTTTTATTTCATCCAAGGCAAAGCGAAATACAATTCTACAATGCAAAACACGTTGTAGAGGCAAGACCGTCTGATCACCTCCCTGCCGTGCGTGAACACAAGTCAGTGCTGGGTGTGTGCTCCTCTGGGCCACCCCGAGGTCCCCAAGGCCACTGCTGCAGCCTCTCATCTACAGTTATAGAGGGAAACTGATATGGGTGTTGTTGTCATCCAAGCCCGAGGCATACACCATGCATAAGATAGCCAGAAGCACTGCGGATTTGGGTGGGGCGGGGGGGCAGGCAGGGACCCCAACCTGGCACAAAGCAAATTGAAGCAAGCGGCAGGCTTCTCCGGAACAGCCCTCCCTCCTGGCACACCCTCCCGCCAGCCCTCCAACCAGAGCCGTCTGCAATAATGAGATGGAGTCCGGGAGTGATGGGGTCAGGAGCACGGCTGGTCTTCCTCTTGGTCCTCTTGTCCGCTCTCAGCTTGCAGATTCCCAACAGCCACGCTCAGGCCGGGAGAGAAGGCTCCTGAGAAGACCAGAGTCTTGCCCACCATGCACCGCCCACCCACTCCACACACCTGCACTGCCTGTATGGGCACACGCTTCCGCATGCACGCGCCGCCCCCTCACCCCCTCCCTGAACAGCCTGAGCCTCACGGGCCGCCCCCGCCCCGCCCCGCCCCCAGGCCTCTCTAGCATCACAAGTTCACGCTGGCTGCCTTCTGCTCAGTTCCAACACCAGAAGAAACTGAGGCCTGGAGTGCCAGGGTCCCATTTTGAGGTTAAGGATGGGGCACTCAGAGCAGTGTCTTTGAGTCCTTGACATCACCGTCAGCAGGTGCATCAACTTGGTGAACGCGGTCCCGCAACAACCTCCATCAGAGACGTGCAGGCACGGAGGCCCTACTTGGGGAAGACGACTCTGCCCACATATGTCCTGGCGCCAGGCCACGTCCATGTTTCTCCATGGGCATCATACGCTGGCGTTTAACACTGTCAGTGCCCCCTCGCTGAGTGCATTTAGCATCTCCTCGGACAGCCCCAGGCACCTCTGCTGAGAACCACCCGACACAGCCACGGACAAGAAGCTGGAAGCGTCAGGGTCAAGGTCTCCAATGGTACAAAGTGACTCCACGGGGGAGTGGCGGTGAGCGGGAGCTGAGGGCCGGGACACAGAGATGCGGTCAGGACAGACTTGGAGCAATCCCCGCCACTCCTAAACCTGCCTTCCAGATTCCTTTCCAAGCCTCACAACAGCCCTGTGAGGTAGGTAAGTATGATTCCGCCCATCTGATGGTGGGCTCCGTGACCCACCTCTAAGCCAGCAGGAGACCCAGGAGAGGGGAGGGAGGATGCTGCCCAGGTGCGCGCCGCTGCCTCGTCAAACATCGGCATTGGACGGGAGAAGGAAGGTTCACACGAAGGCAGCTAGAAGTCTTCTGAGTGGTCGAGGGCTCTGGTCTGCCTGTTCCCAAATCCGAGAAAATCCGATCCCCCTCCCCAGGATGGGTTCTGGGTGGAGGAGGATGGGAGGGGCAGGGGCAGAACATCAGGGGAGCCTGTGAGCCGGTGAGCGAGGGTGAGGGGCTCAGACCACAGCCGTGAGCACCCCGCAGGTGCGGCTGTGCCTCCGTCTCTCTGCACCTGCACCCTCAGGGAAGCGTACAGTGCTTCCTGGCAGAGAGTCATGAGGGGTCCCTACATCCTCTGCAAAAGGGACCCGGGGGACACGGGGTCAGGAATGCAATCGGGGGCAAGGGATGGGCGCACGTGGGGGAGACCCCTGTTATCACATCTACCATCTCTGCCCCACAGGGACTCACACAGGGGGACCCACCAGGTGGCCCCACTCCAACACCACCCTGGAAGCACCCGGCAGATGTCTCCATCTCAGTTACTGGCCAACGGGTTGCAGGTAACACAACCCTAACCTTGCGCCCCCGCCACGTGATCCTAGGGAGGGGGGTGCGGTGATGCCAGGACACACGGGCTGCAGGCAGAGACGAGTAAGAGCTGGACTCAGGGAGCTAAGGCACAGTCTAGCCCCATACACAGGGGTGTGCAAACTGGTTCTGAAAGTGCAGAGGGCACGTGTGGGCAACCTCTCCCTGCTCCCCCACCTCGGGGGAGAGACGGGGTGGCCCAGCTGAGCAGGAAGCATCTGGAAAAGCCAAGGGCCCTCATCCAAACAAGAGGGTCCCTGAGATGGAGGCAAGCCCTTGACCCCGGGCTGGCGGACGAACAGCCCTGGGGACAGGGGAGAAGCAGTGACAGGGGCATAGGTGGTGCAAGCCAGCAGGACGGCAGGTTCCAGGGTGTGACCCCACAAGCAAGGTGACAGCACCTGCCATCTGGGGGCAGGGGAAGAGGGGGAGAGCGGGGCTCTGGAGCGCCCAGGTGGCGATGGTCCTGCCATGCCAAGGACAGGGCTGCCAGCAGTGGGGCTGGGGTGGGCATTGCTGTGGGGCTCCGGTCCCCTCTGCACATCCCTAGTAAGCAGAGGGCAGAGGCCAGGTTAGATAGAGGCCCAAACCAGCAGGGTTTAGAAACTGGAGCAGGAAGTGGGACAGGGAGCTGGGATGAGGCAGACGGGCACCCTCGAGCGGGGGGTGGCGAGGGGGGAACTTTGCACTTGAGGGACTGAGGAGAACGGGGATGGCCCACAGCCAAGGCAGGCCTCTCACTGCGGCCCTGCCTCCAGCAGCCCCCACTCCACACCGGCCACTCCCACTACCCAAAGGGTCAGTCCTCCAGGTGGGGGTCTCCCCCAGGCCCAGCTCCTGGGCCGCCCTCGCTGTTCCCCCCAGTCCCTCTTGACGAGAAATCAGGAAGAAAACCAAGGTCCAGGGAGACAGAAGGAGACCCCTTCTCCCCAGGTGTCGAGGAGGGCCAGCCCGTCCATCCCGGCCCAACCCCTCCTTCCCCTCTGCCGTGGCCGGCCGCTGTCCCTGGGTGCCCTGGCTGGGAAGCAGGCGGGGCGGGCCAGGCACATCCCGCGCCTCCCTGCCTAGAAAGTCTACAGTTGGAGGCAAGCAGCAGGTGTCTCAGGCACGTGGGTTCTACAGACGGGCGGGGCTCGAGGATCAGTCTCATCACTGGAAGCTGCGGCTCCCTGCGGCCGCCCGGCCTGCCACACTGCTACACTTTTGTGGGCGGTTTCTCCTCGGCCTTGGAGCCGGGCAGCCCGTTCTCCGTATTGTCATTCCCGGAGGAGCTCACGAGACACTCCTTCCTGGAGAGGGAGAGACAGGGGACACTGTGAGGAGGGACGCCGCGGCCCCCTGCATGCAACCCTACGCCCTCTCCTCTCCTCCCGCCATCCACCAAGCAAGAGACTGAGCAACTAAGGGATCTGTAGCTCCATTTGCCCAGCTATAAAATAGATGCATCCATGGGGCCTTGGTGGCGGGCTTGGGGGAAGGAGCAGAAGCACTAGGAAGGTTGCCTGGCCCACAGAGGATTCTCACGGACCGGGCCTGGGTGTCTCCACGCAGCCGGAGGTCTGGGGCCAGGCCGAGTGCTGAGGACACAGGGATGTCCCCCCTCCCCCCAGGGCCCCCAAGACCCCTCCTCCCTGAGCTGTCTGTGACCACAGGTGAGACAGCAAGGGCCATAGAGGGACAGCGCAGGCAGGGGTTCAGACTCAAGGGTGGCAGGTCTGGGAGGAGGCAGCAGGAAAGAGGTGGTCAGATGGGGGAGACACTTCCGGCGAGCCACACCACCCTGAGTGCCCCGAGCTGGTCCTGTCCCGACCCTGGTTTGTCCTGGCGGTGCCCAGGCTGGGTGGACAGAGCTCATGGAAAACATCCCTGACCCTTCCCTGTCCACAGGCTTACCCCAGGCCTGCCCACCCCAGCCCCTTGCCCACATGGCCAGACCCTTCCTTCTGGAGCTCCGTGACCGTGACAGGGCCTGGGGCCCTGGCCCAACCCCCACCTCCCACAGGCAGAAGGGAAGCCCATCTCAGCCTGCACCTCCAGGTCCCTAAGGCTCACTCTCGACCCCTGGTGGGCTTTTCAAATCTCCCAGGATGCCTCCATCTGAACACCCTCCCCTCCTCTCTCCCCAGTCCACCACAAACACCCATGTGGCCAGAAAGTGCCCCTGGAAGTCCGCCCTCCTCTGCACCCTGGGGCTGTGTCTCAGCGGCCCTGTCTGCACAGCCCTTGACCTTGCATTGCTTTTCTCTGCACTCAATCTCATCGCCGAAGGCAGGATTTCCTACAGCACCTGCCACAGAGCTTTGCCCCAGGGGGAGGAACGAGTGAATGAACAAACTCTCAATCAGCTCAGTGAGCGGGATGTGGCGGTGATGGTTTAAGCTTTGACACCAGATAGGTTGGAGTTCAGATCCCAGCTCCATCACTAGCTGTGTGGCCGTGGGCAAGTCACTTAACCTCACTGAGCCTCTGCTCAGCTGTCCAAGAAGCCTGGCAGGTGCTATGTGCTAATGCCTGGGGACGGGCCTGACCCATGGCAGGTGCGCAGTGGACACCGGCAAGTGCACCCAGTGCAAACTGCTAGCCTTGCCTTGCTTTGGGGGGCTGAGGTGGGTCACTGTGGGTTTACTAAGTGCCTTTAGGCCATATGCTGAAAAACTCATTCTCCGCGTTTGCTTGCCATCGCTGGAAAAACTGGTTCTTAAAAACAGGGCCTGTTACAGCTGCATACCTCTGGCTCCTCCCTACCTCCACCCCTGATACAGTAAGGTAACAATAGCCCTGCCCGCCTGCAGCTTCCCTCCCCTCTGCCAAGAGGGCAGAGTGGTCCTCCCTTCTCTCTGGCTTCCCGTGACTGTCGCCCTCTCCAACGAGAGGCCTGCCTCCTCTCACCTGTCCTGCTCAGAGCGCATCTTTGGATGTCTTCTCCCTGCTCTGGCTTTACAAGATGCACCACCTGCTACCTTGGGCCCTACCTGACCCTGTTCCAGAAATGCCAGGCCTGGGGCTTGCCCCCCTGCCCCTCCCCCTCCGCCCTCTCCCCTCCCACGTGAATGTTCAGGGCTTCACATCAAAGGCTCCCATCTCCCTGGAAGGGTCCCCGGCTCAGAGCTGCACGTGGAATCTTGTCTTTCCTCTGCTTTTCCTCCGTCCTTTGGTAGGGCTTTGGGTTGAGTGATACAAATGGAAAGAAAGAAGCTCACGGATGGGAAGGGGGAAGGGAGCCGGTGGGAGAGGGAGGAGCTAGAGGATTGCACAGCCTATGCTCACCGGATTTGCATTGATTGACAGCTTCAATAAATTCATATGAGAGGGGGAGGAAGTGGGAGGGGGCTAGAACTCAGGGACTGGCCAGAGAGTGCTGTGATTAGGAAGGGGGGGGGGGAGCGGGGGCGGGATGGGGGGAAGAAGGGGGCTGCAGGTTGATGGAGGAGGTGGGGGGGATGGGAGTTGGTGTGAGGGGGGATGGCGGGGAGGGAGAAAAGGAGACGGGGGGGGGGCTGGTGGGAAGGGGATGATGGGAGGGAGGGGAGGAGAGGGGGCTGGTGGCAGGTGGGACGGCAGGTGAAGGGGGCAGTAGAAAGAGTCTGCTAGCAGGAAGTTTTTAGAGAGCGAGAGGTTCAGCAGCAATCTTCTACAGGGACCGCCTGATTGCCAGTTGCGAATCAGATTAACGATAGCTGAACCGGCTCTGAAGAGAAGCCACAAGTACCACCGGGCCTTGATTAGTCTGAGACAATCGCCTTACTGGAGTTGCGTGGGGACCGAGGACCCGAGGACCGAATTCCCCCCTATGGTGCGGAGGTATAGAATGACGAGTCTTGGGATGCGGGCCAGGTAGGAGGAGGGACAAGGGCTACGATCTGTCGAGCTGGCCCGATTGGCTCTCTGACAGACTGAAAACCC